TGGCGTTGCATATAATCATCCCAGGAAGGATTATAGGATTATAGAGAATTATTATAGAACCTGCTGAGAATTATCTTGAAAGGGAAAATTTGAGGGAGGAGGGAGGAGGGAGGAGGAAGGAGGAGGAGGGGAGGAGGGGAGGGAGGAGGGAGGGAGGGAGGGGAGGAGGAGGAGGAGGAGGAGGAGGAGGGAGGAGGAGGGGGAGGGGAGGAGGAGAGGGGAGGGAGGAGGAGGAGGGAGGAGGAGGAGGAGAGAAGGGAGGAGGGAGGGAGGGAGGAGGAGGGGAGAGGGGAGGAGGAGGAGGAGGAAGGAGGAGGGGAGGGAGAGGGGAGAGGAGGAGGAGGAGGAGGAGGAGGAGAGAGGGAGGAGGAGGAGGTGGTGATCTTGGTGTTATAGGAGGAGGGAGGGAAATTAAAGCTATAATCCCTGATTTTATATATTATAGCTGGAGGATATAGCTTAAAGTTCTATATACTGTAGGAAGTATATATATTTTAGCTTCTAATTCAAAATTTTTATTTATTTAGCTGATTCTGAGTTAAAAGTCTATTTAGCTTATTCTAATTTAAATTCTATATTTTAGCTTCTTTTCCCTTAAAACTCTATAATTGAGCTTTCAAATTTTTAAAAGCTATAGTGTTGCTGAATTACACGAAAGCTCTATAATCGACCAAATATTTTCCCCAAACTCTATAATTTAGCTGATTCTTCCCCAAACGCTATACTTCCTGCAAACTATAATTTAGCCTGATCCCTGACCCCAAACGCTATATTTTCCAAACTCTATCTTAGCTGACTCTGTCTCTGGAACTTTATCTTTTAGCATATGCTTAGCTGGTTTCTAAATTTTATTGACAGACAAACTTTCACCAAGACTCATCTGTGCATACCCTTTCTCTTTTTGTCTTTGCTTTCCCGCCTCAAGTACTTTCTTCCTGACACTAGTTTCTAAGTTACGGACCAATATTTCCCATCACTCTCTCTCTCTCTTTCCTTTCCTCCTCTCTCCTCACATCTTTCCTCCTTTCTATTCTTTTCTCTCCCTTTCATCTTTCTTTCGATTTTTTTTTGCTTTCTCCTCCTCCTTCTCCAATTCCTTCTCTCATTTTCTTCCATTTCTTCATTCTCCATTCTTCTATCTTCCATCCCATTCTCCTCTTCCCTTCCATCTACGCCGTTATCACCAAGCTCTATTTCTCGTTTTGTTTACCTTCACCATTTGTTATTCCTTTGTTTTCTCTCTGTCTCTCTTTCTCTCTCTCCATACATCTTTCTTTCATTCTTTTCTTTTTATCTAACTGTTCATGCCTTTTTTGTTTCTCTCTCTCTCTCTCTCTCATCCCCTACGTTTGTTATTCCTCTTTATCACATTACTCAAGCAATTCCATCGTTTATTCTCCTATGGCCCACCATTTTTCATTTATCTTAATTGATGTATATTGTCTATCCTTCCTTCCTTCCTTCCCCTCCCCATTCTCTCCCACCTCCCCTACCTACTCCTCCCCTCTCTTAGAATGCTCACACACACACACAACACAAAGGGGTCGCGCTAGTATCCCCCTGCTGCATAATTAAATGTGTGTATGCAAATGAGGTCTGTATCCTGTTAAGTATTTCAACGACCTTTTGTTATTGGTGTTGTTGTTGTTGTTGTTGTTATTGTTGTTGTTTTGTTGTTGTTGTTGTTGTTGCTTTCATCGTTTTATTTATCTCTATTCTTTATCTTTTTCTTTCCTGATCTATGGTTGAACCTTGTATGTATGTATGTATGTATGTATGTATGTATGTATGTATGTACTGTTGGTGGGTGTAGCAATCACCAGACTGAAATTGGTTTGTAAATTTATTGAACGACTAATGGGGGAATGGGGAATATATAGGTGCTGGAGGGTGATGGGGAGGTAATGGGGAATGCATACCACCGTCCCATTACTCATCTCACCCCACAACTTACTCCCCACCTCTACTCCCACCTCACCCTCACTACTCTCCCCCACCTCACCCACTATACTCCCACCTTCACCCCAATTATACTCCCCACCTTCACCCCACTACACTCCCCACCGTCACCCCACTATACTCCCCACCCCACCAATACTCCCCACCTTCACCCCACTATACTCCCCACCCCACAATACTCCCCACCCCACAACACCCCCACCCCACAATACTCCCCACCCCACCCCACTATATTCCCCATCCCACCCCACTCCCCACCTTCACCCCACTACACCCCCACCCCACCCCACTATACTCCCCCACCTTCACCCCACCACATCCCCCACCTCTCACCCCACCACACTCCCCCACCGTCACCCCACTATACTCCCCACCTTATCTCCACTATACCCCCACCACACATTCCCCCCACCCCACCCCACTACACTCCCCACCCCACCACTATACTCCCCACCTTCACCCCACTACACCCCCACCGTCACCCCACTATCCTCCCCAACCCCACAACACTCCCCACCTTCACCCCCACTATACCTCCCCCACCTCACCCCACTATACCCCACCCCATTCCCACCCCACCCCACTATACTCCCCCACCCACCCCACTATACTCACCCCACCCCACTACACCCCCACCTTCACCCCACTATATTCCCCACCTTCACCCCACTATACTCCCCACCTTCACCCCACTATACTCCCCCACCTTCACCCCACTATACTCCCCACCTCACTCCCACACCTCTCTCTCTCAACACATACATTAGAAATTAGAAAAAATTATCCCCACGTAAAAGACACCAGCCCCGTCAGTGAGTCACGTTTCCTTCTCTCTCTCTTCTCTTCTCTCTCTCTCTCTCACTCTCTCTCTCTCTCTCTCCTCTCTCTCTCTTCTATCTTTCTTCTTCTTCTTCTCTCTATTCTCTCAGCGGTAAAGGAACGTTGGCTGGGTTTAAAAATGCCCGAGTTTCACACAGGTAAATGGAGGTGAACCTGAGCTACCTGTAATTTACATACCTGGGGAGAAACCAGTGAGTGAGACGAGGCTGCTGGAGGTTTTGACTGATGTGGGGTGAGTGGGGAGGAGAGAGAGAGAGAGAGAGAGAGAGAGAGAGAGAGAGAGAGAGAGAGAGAGAGAGAGAGAGAGAGAGAGCAGAATAATGACCAATAACCTTAGAGGCACGAGGAAGGTTGACTTTAATTTTACATGTCAATAATGAATTATACAAAGTGGTGTAATTGGCAGTGGGCTGTGTGTGTTTGTGAGAGGGAGAGAGAGGAGAAGGAGGGAGAGGGAGGGAGAGGGAGAGGAAGAGAGAAATAGGAAGAGGGAGGAGAGGGAGGAGGGAGAGGGAAGAGGAGGGAAGAGAGAGAGAGAGAGAGGAGAGAGAGGAGAGGAGAGAGAGAGAGAGAGAGAGAGAGAGAGAGAGAGAGAGAGAGAGAGAGAGAGAGAGAGAGAGAGAGAGAGAGAGGAAAATAATTAGTAAATAAACAGATATAAACAATTAAATTAACTGTAAATATGGAAAAACAACAAAATAATGAATAAAAACAGGTAAATAAAGACAGATGGACAGGTAGATTAGACAGATAGAGAGGATTTATAATTTAGACAGACAGATACAAGTAGACAGACAGGAATGATAACTGAAACAAATACACAGAAGTAGACAGAGAAGATTTATAATTTCGACAGGTAGATTAGACAGGTAGACGAGACAGGTAGATGAGACAGGTAGATGAGACAGGTAGATGAGACAGGTAGATGAGACAGGTAGATGAGACAGGTAGGACACAGGTAGATTAGACAGGTAGATATTGCAGATTCTAGTAACGAGCAACACACAAAGTCGGTATTGCTTGGTGGGGATCTAGGAACAAATTTGCATACATAGGATTAATTATGCAAGAGGATTCAAGGTGTGTGTTGGATGAGGGGGGGGAGGGGGGGAGGGAGGAGGGGGATGGTAGGGAGAGGAGGGGGGGTAGGGGGTAATGAGGGGTGAAAGGAGGTTAAGAAAAGAGAGAGAGAGAGAGAGAGAGAGAGAGAGAGAGAGAGAGAGAGAGAGAGAGAGAGAGAGAGAGAGTCACTCCCTTCATCTCTTTCTCTCATTCTCTTTTTTTTATTCTTTTCTCTCTCCTTTCCTTTATCTCTATGTGTGTTTGCTCTGTTTCTTCCTTCCTTCCCTCATTCTTTCTCTACTCCTCCTCTCTCCTCTCTTCTCCCTCCCTCCCTCCACTAGTACCAGCAGTAACCATCTCGATCTTCCTTTTCCCTCCCTCCTCCACTAGTACCAACAGTAAACTCCATCTCCCTGATTCTCCCTCCCTCCTACTCCCCTCCCCTCCTTCCTCCTATCTCCTCCCTCCCTCCTTCCCTCCACTAGTAAACCTCAACTCGGCCAGACGTTTATACTACCATTGAGAATTATTATTAAGACCGAGACTTGCTTCAACAACTATATAATTCTGCTCCTTCCTCCCTTTAATTCCTTCCTTTCTTCCTTCCTTCATCTTCCCTTAACTCTTAATTCTTTCCTTCCTTCCTCTCACTCCTCCCTTAATTCCTTCCTTTCTTAATTCCTCCATTCCTGTCTTTATTCATTCTTAGCTTATTCTAATCTCCTGAACTCCTTCTCCGTCCTTCCTTCCTTCCCTTAAATCTCTTATCCTCCTCCTCTTCCTCCATCAACCCTACCTCCCTCCTCCTGCTCCTCCTCCTCCATCAACCCAACCTCCTCCTCCTGCTCCTCCTCCGTCGACCCTACCTCCTCCTTCTCTCCCTATACCTCCTCTTTCTTCCTCCACCACCTTCCACCCTCTTATTCTTCATCTTCTCCATCCTTCCACCACTATCTTCTTCCGCCTTACCTCTACTCTTCCTTCCTCCTTCTTCTACTACACCTTCCTTCCTTCCTCCTCCCCTCTCTCCTTCTTCCCTAACAGAACAAACACCATGAGTAATCCAGAGAAAGAGGCATACATAATACGAAGAATAAAAGGAGAAATACAGGAGAATTTGTAATAGTCATCGTGTTTACCATTCTAGACGGGAGGACGGAAAGGCGGACGGAGAGGGCGGAAAGGCGGACGGGAGAGGGCGGAAAGGACGGGAGAGGGCGGAAAGGCGGACGGGAGAGGGCGGAAAGGCGGACGGGAGAGGGCGGAAAGGCGGACGGAGAGGGCGGAAAGGCGGACGGAGAGGGCGGAAAGGCGGACGGGAGAGGGCGGAAAGGCGGACGGAGAGGGCGGAAAGGCGGACGGAGGACGGAAAGGCGGACGGAGGCGGAAAGGCGGACGGGAGAGGGCGGAAAGGCGGACGGGAGAGGGCGGAAAGGCGGACGGGAGGACGGAAAAGGCGGACGGAGAGGACGGAAAGGCGGACGGGAGACGGAAAGGCGGACGGAGAGGGCGGAAAGGCGGACGGAGGAGGGCGGAAAGGCGGACGGAGAGGGCGGAAGCGGACGGAGGACGGAAAGGCGGATGGAGAGGGCGGAAAGGCGGACGGAGAGGGCGGAAAGGCGGACGGGAGAGGGCGGAAAGGCGGAGAGGGCGGAAAGGGACGGAGAGGGCGGAAAGGCGGACGGGACGGAAAGGCGGACGGAGAGGCGGAAAGGCGGACGGGAGAGGGCGAAAGGCGGACGGGAGAGGGCGGAAAGGCGGACGGGAGAGGGCGGAAAGGTGGATGGGAGAGGGCGGAAAGGCGGACGGAGAGAGCGGAAAGGCGGACGGGAGAGGCGGAAAGGCGGACGGAGAGGGCGGAAAGGCGGACGGGAGAGAGCGGAAAGGCGGACGGGAGAGGCGGAAAGGCGGACGGGAGAGGGCGGAAAGGCGGATGAAGAGGGCGGAAAAGGGGATGGAAGAGGGCGGAAAGGCGGACGGGAGAGGGCGGAAAGGCGGACGGGAGAGGGGCGGAAAGGCGGACGGGAGAGGGGCGGAAAGGCGGACGGGAGAGGGCGGAAAGGCGGACGGGAGAGGGCGGAAAGGCGGACGGAGAGGGCGGAAAGGCGGATGAAGAGGGCGGAAAGGCGGACGGAGAGGGGCGGAAAGGCGGACGGGAGAGGGGCGGAAAGGCGGACGGGAGAGGGGCAAGGGCGGATGGAAGAGGGCGGTGAGGCGGACGGGAGAGGGCGGAAAGGCGGACGGAGAGGGCGGAAAGGGACGGAGAGGGCGGAAAAAGGATGGAAGAGGGCGGAAAGGCGGACGGGAGAGGGGCGGAAAGGACGGGAGAGGGCGAAAGAGCGACGGGGAGAGGCGGAAAGGCGGACGGGAGAGGGCGGAAAGGCGGATGGAAGAGGGCGGAAAGGCGGACGGGAGAGGCGGAAAGGCGGGACGGGAGAGGGCGGAAAGGCGGACGGGAGAAAGTAGCAAAAAGGAAAAAGAAATAAGAGAGGAAGGTTTTAAGTAAGGAGGAAGGTAAGACTGAGAGGAAGGAAGATAGGGATGAGAGAGAGGGAGGGAGGGGGAAGGACGGAAGAATGAGGGGAGGAGGAAGGGAGGAGAGAGAGAGAGAGAGAGAGAGAGAGAGAGAGAGAGAGAGAGAGAGAGAGAGGAAAGAGAGAGAGAGAGAGAGAGAGAGAGAGACCTGGGGACCAAATTTGCATGTGATAATATACACCCTCTGCCTCAACTGACTCAAGTAATTCCTCTCTGGTATGTTGCTTACTTAAGGGAGCGCTGGGTGAGGTGAGGGAGGGAGGAAGGGCAGGAGCGAGGGAAGGTGAGGGTGAGGGGAGGTGAGGGAAGGGGTGAGAGTGAGGGAAGGTGAGGGTGAGGAAGTGAGGTAGGGGGAGGTGAGGAAGGGGTGAGAGGAGGGGAAGGAAGGAGGGAGGGAAGGTGGAGGGTGAGGAAGGTGAGGGGATGGAAGGAGTGAGGGAAAGTGAAGATGAGGGTGATGGTAAGTCTCTCTCTCTCTCACCCAACGACCTGAGAGGCATTGAAGGTCAGATGAGAAATTACTGTTTTGGTAATCACCCAATAACTAGGGATATAAAAAGACCCAACCGAATAAACTACGCTGACAGAACCTGGGACGGAAGGCCCAGTACCACGGTGGGAGAGTTCACAGCCAAGAGAGACAGGCTGACAGACAGATAGAGAAACATAATATAATCTCTACCTAACATGCATACTAATACTAATTTTAATCTCAGTCTCCCCACTCTATTCATCATTACAGGTAAATCACAAGTAATTAGTAGTATAAAATGACATCAAATTACACCCAACCTCATTTACATACCACATACACAAAATATTTAAATTTGCATATTACCCATTTATGTTAAGTCTAACTCATTACTGTCTTGTCTTTTATTAAAGTCAGGTTACAGAGCTAATTTATAGCAGCAAACTAGATATATAAATTAATGTATATTGATGAATTGTCATGTATATGATCAGGTAATGTATATAACTGGAAAAAAACCATAGAATTATTAGTATTGATGCATTGGCTAAAAATCTGATAATTTATATAATCTACAGTATAATATCTATTGATAATTGATGAGTAATATCATAAAAGTCTATTTGATAATTTATACACATCCAAGAAGCTAAGTTAATGCATTGATGCTGATATCTATATAAAATTCGTTCGTATGTATGTAGTGTTGTCCTTCGTAATGTATATTAAAGATATATCATGACTAAATAGTATTGTCATTCCTTATGAAAACCGTGTGTAGGGCCCTTGGATTAATTTCCTCCCCATATCCCTCTGCCACTAATTCTCCTTAGTATCTCCCTTCCAAGGACCAATTTCCTTCCAGGCACTAATCTCCCTTCCAGCACCATTATTCTCCCTGCCATCTCCCCTTCCAAGCGCCCACCCCTTCCAGGTAATTCACAATCTCCCTTCCAGGCACTAATCTCCCTTCTAGGCACTAATTTCCCTTACTACCTCTCCTCCAATAACTAATTCCCCTCCCTATCTCCCTTCCAACCACTATTCTCCCTTACTATCAACCCACCAACGCCTAATCTCCCTTCCAACCATTAATTTCACAATTTTTCCCCTGCACGTCCCCGTAATCTCCCTTCAGCTGGTATATAATCTCCCTTCCTTTAACCCTTTCATCACTAATCTCCCTTTTTGCCTCCCTTCAGCCGTAAGCCTAAACCTCTCCTTCATGTTCTCTTTTATGACTCATTTGGTTCTCTCTATCTTCCTTCTTCCCCCTTCTCTCTCTCTCTATCTCCCTTTCTCCTGTCCACCCTCCTCTCACTCTCTCTCCCTTCCTCCTTTCCACCCTTTCCAAATTTACAGATTTATAGAGAGAGGGAGATGATGAAGAAGAGTAAACAAGAGAGAGAGAGAAACTCGATAAACAGAGACAAATAACAAAGAACGATAATGAAACGAATAAGAATAGCCCTGATAAAGAGGGGTGGAAACGGTGAAGATGATAAAATAGAATAGATGAGAAGGAGCGTGATAAAGGAGGTAGATATAGCATAATTGATGATAAAGGAGGAAGAGGTAAAGAAGGAGGAGAAGGAGGAGGAAGAAGAGGAGGAGGAGGAGGAGGAAGAGGAGAAGAAGGGACGGTAGGTCACTTAAAATCAATAAAGAATAGTCTCAAAATCAGCCAATGGACGTGTGTGTGTGTGTGTGTGTGTGTGTGTGTGTGTGTGTGTGGTGTGTGTGTGTGCATGTGTGTGTGTGATATAACAACATCCACGTATAACATAACATAAACACCAATAATAAACTCAATAAAACAAATAAAAACAAACTGTCTACTTCAATTGTCATACGTAAACACCTATACCATATAATACGCTAAGACAATGAATTATTAACACCAGAGATAAAATTACGAAGATAAACAAACGTTACAGATAAGCAGGAACTTTACATACCATTAAGTAGCAGCGTAAAGCAGTGTAGTAGTCGTGGATGGCCAAGGAGTGACTGGAACTGGCCAAGGAGTGACTGGAACTGGCCAAGGAGTGACTGAACTGGCCAAGGAATAACTGAACTGGCCAAAGAATAACTGAACTGGCCAAGGAATGACTGAACTGGCCAAGGAATGACTGAACTGGCCATGAATAACTGGAACTGGCCAAGGAATAACTGAACTGGCCAAGGAGTGACTGAAATGGCTAAGAACTGACTGGGACTTTGTAAGGAGGACTGTTGATGCAACCTCGTGTCGTGTCGTCGTGGTGGCATGTCTGTCTATATCTCTGAATGGTTAATAAGACTAGTTAGACGATAGTTAACCTTTGATGACCGAGCGACCTTGTTATTCGGTAATTCTAACCCTCATCAAAGAAAATCTTGTATAGCCAAACACCTATATTTTTTTTTTACAATGTTGTTCTCTTAGGTGAATAAAAACGCCATGAAATCTGAGGATAAAATTGTGCAAACATATCGTCGCTTCCCCGTTAGAGAGAGTCCACTCCTACGACGACTCACACACGTACAGTAAGTCAGTCAATCAGTCAGTTTCTTTTATGAACAAGATCACCCGCGTGGCTCTTGACATGTGTGTCTGTGTGTGTGTGTGTGTGAAGGCGATGACTGATGGACGATGGCCTCTCCTCCTACCCCTCTGACCCGCTTGAGGTGTGTGTGTGTGTGTGGGTGTGGGAGGTGCCTGACGTACGATGACGACGACCCAGCAGCAGAAGTGACACGACACATGTGAGGGTTTACTGCAGGGGTAACTGTACACACACAGATTCTGCTGAAAACGCCCCAAGAGCATTGATTTATCACACCTGCTCTGAGACCAATCGATGGAACGAGGAGCTAAGGACAGAAGAGGGAGGCAGGGAGAAGGAAGGAAGGAGACAGGAGGAGAGAGGGAAATGAGGAAGAGAATAAGGAGGAGGAGGAAATAGAGGTAGAGAAAGGGGGGGTGAGGGAGAAGTGGATAAAGAGAGGGAAGGGGGGAGGAGAGGAGGGAGGAGGAGGACTGGAGAAAGAGGAGAGGAAGACAGGGAGAAGGAAGGAGGGAGATAGAGGGAAGGGGGATTCAGGGAGGGAAAGGGAAGTGGGGGGAACAGAAAAGGAAGAGAGAGAGAGAGAGAACTGACGAACATTAGACAAACAAGAAGAAAAAAGATACACACACACACACACACACATAAACAAACACGGGAACTAAAAAGCAAAAATAAACAAGTCTCAGACGAACAAACACGAGAGAAAAAAATGGCTTCTGAAATGACATAGGCAAAAGAATAAAGAAAATGAGGTAAGGAGAGAGGAGAAGAAGAAGAAGAGAGAGAGAGAGAGAGAGAGAGAGAGAGAGAGAGAGAGAGAGAGATGTTTATAGTTGTAATAATATTTCAGTGTAGGGAAGAGGAGCCCTCGGGGATACACACCTTGGGAACATTGATCTTACCTGGTAAAGCAGAACAGGTATTAGCTCAGGTGTATATATGTGTGTGTGTGTGTGTGTGTGTGTGTGTGTGTGTGTGTGACCCATTACCAATACACCAGGGTCATTCCACTCGAACTTAACCTAACCTAACCCAAAACTTAACTATATAACACTCATTTAACCTATGACATTTAACCCCGAGTGTCCAGCAGGTATAAGGAAGGGGGGGGGGAGGCAAGGAAGGGGTGGGGGATGGAAGGGAAGGGGAGAGGAGGAAGGGGAGGAGGTTGTCAGAGTGAACATAATTATATAAATCACACACACACACACACACACACACACACACACAGTTAACTTTAGTAGGGTCAATAAATGGTCTGGACGGTCATCCAATTTAATTATCGTGAGGCAGTTTTGCAATTATTGTGACACTGGTGACGTAGTTAACGGCCTGACGGCTCTGTAACGCTGTACAATTACTTAACAACTGTTGACCCTGACCTCTCGTACTGTGTTCCATATATATATAAACGTTTATATATAGTTACGGATGTTGATTTTTCAGAGTTACTCTCACATGTAAACAGAGTGCGCGCGCAGGATGGATGTGATTGGTCCATGAAGGAGAAGTGGGCGGGGCGATAATGACAACATCGATAAATAAAAAAAATAAAAAAATAAATAAAATACAATGAAAAATTAATTAATCACTGTAAATGTAATAATGAAAATATGTAAATATATAGAGAGAGACATTATTAATTTACACTATTAACGTTTACAGCTCTAACCCACCGTCCATAGCTGCTGTAAATCACCATCACTCATATTGGTATTAATGATTCAAAGGTGATTATTTATTCTCTTTATTGTTCTTCCTTCTGGTGGGGAGGGAAGGAGGGAGGGACGGAAGGAGGGAGGGAGGGAAGGAGGGAAGAGGGAGGGAAGGAGGAAGGAGGAGGAAGGAGGGAGAGGAAAGGAGGGAGGGAGGAAGGAGGAGGAGGAAGGGAAGGAGGGAGGGGAGGGAGGGAAGGAGGGAGGAGGGAAGGAGGGAGGGAAGGAGGGAGGGACGGAAGGAGGGAGGGAGGGAAGGAGGGAGGGAAGGAGGAGGGGAGGGAGGGAAGGAGGGAGGGAGGAAAGGAGGAGGGAGGAAGGAGGGAGGGAGGAAGGAGGGAGGGGAGGGAGGGAAGGAGGGAGGAGGGAAGGAGGGAGGGGAGGGAGGGAGGAAGGAGGGAGGGAAGGAGGAGGGAGGAAGGGAAGGAGGGAGGGGAGGGAAGGAGGGGAGGGGAGGGAGGGAGGGAGGAGGAGGGAAGGAAGGGAGGGAGGGAGGGAGGGAGGGGATGGAAGGAGGGAGGAGGGAGGGAGGGATGAAGGAGGGGAGGGAGGGAAGGGAGGGAGGGGACGGAGGGAGGGAGGGGAGGGAGGGGATGGGAGGGAGGGAGGGGAAGGAGGGAGGGGAGGGAGGGAAGGAGGGAGGGAGGAAAGGAGGGAGGGGAGGGAGGGAGGGAAGGAGGAAGGGAAGGAGGGGAGGAGGGAGGGGAGGGAGGAAGAGGGAGAGGGAGGGAGGGAGGGAAGGAAGGAGGGAGGGAGGGGAAGGAGGGGAGGAAGGAGGAGGGAGGGAGGAAGGAGGGAGGGAGGAAAGAGGGAGGGAGGGAAGGGAGGGAGGGGAGGAAGGGGGAGGGAGGGAGGGAAGGAGGGAGGAGGGAAGGAGGGAGGAGAGGAGGGAAGGAGGGAGGGAAGGAGGGGAGGGAGGAAGGGAAGGGAGGGGAGGGAGGGAAGGAGGGAGGGAGGGAGGGAGGAGGGGAGGGGAGGGAGGAAGGAGGGAGGGGAGGGAGGGAGGAGGGAGGAGGGAAGGAGGGGAGGGAGGAAGGAGGAGGGAAGGAGGGAGGAAGGAGGGGAGGGAGGGAGGGAGGGAGGGAGGGGAGGGGACGGAAGGAGGGGAGGGAAGGAGGGGAGGGAGGGAAGGAGGGAGGGGAAGGAGGGAGGGAAGGAGGGAGGGGAGGGAGGGAGGGAGGGAGGGAAGGAGGGAGGGGAGGAAGGGGAGGGAGGGAAGGAGGGAGGAAGGAGGAGGGAGGGAGGGAAGGAGGGAGGAGAGGAGGGAGGGAAGGAAGGAGGAGGGAGGAAGGGGAGGGGAGGGAGGAGGGAAGGAGGGAGGGAGGGAAGGAGGGGAGGGAGGGAGGGAAGGAGGGAGGGGAGGGAGGGAGGAAGGAAGGAGGGAGGGAGGGAAGGAGGGAGGGAGGGAGGGAGAGGGAGGGAGGGGAGGGAAGGAGGGAGGGGAGGGAGGGAGGATGGAAGGAGGGGAGGGGAGGGAAGGAGGGGAGGAAGGAGGGAGGGAGGGAAGGAGGGAGGGATGGAGGGAGGGAGGGAGGGAGGGACGGAGGGAGGGAGGGAAGGAGGGAGGGGAGGGAGGAAAGGAGGGAGGGAGGAAAGGAGGGAGGGAGGGGAAGGAGGGGAGGGAGGAAGGAAGGAGGGAGGAGGGAGGGAAGGAGGGAGGGAAGGAGGGAGGGAGGGAGGGAGGGGAGGGATGGAAGGAGGGAGGGAGGGAAGGAGGGAGGGAAGGAGGGAGGGGAGGAGGGGAAGGAGGGAGGAGGAAAGAGGGAGGGAGGAAGAGGGAGAGAAGGGAGAAGGGGAGGAGGGAGGGGAGGGAAGGAGGGAGGGGAGGGAAGGAGGGAGGGGAGGGAGGGAAGGGAGGGAGGGAAGGAGGGAGGAGAAGGGGAAGGAGGGAGGGAGAAGGAGGGAGGGAGGAGGGGGGGAGGGAGGGGAGGGAAGGAGGGGAGGGAGGGAGGAGGGATGGAAGGAGGGGGAGGGAGGGGAGGGGAGGGAGGGGAAGGAGGGAGGGAAGGAGGGAGGGACGGAGGGAGGGAGGGGAGGAGACGGAGGGGAGGGAGGGAAGGAGGGAGGGAGGGGAGGGAAGGAGGGAGGGGAGGGGAAGGAGGGAGGGAAGGGAGGGAGGGAGGGAAGGAGGGAGGAGGGAAGGAGGGAGGGAAGGGAGGGGAGGAGGGAGGGGAAGGAGGGAGGGAGGAAGGGAGGGAGGGAGGAGGGAGGGAGGGAGGAAGGGAGGGAGGGAGGGAGGGAAGGAGGGAGGGAGGGAAGGAGGAGGGGAGGAGGGAGAGGGAAGGAGGGGAGGGAGGAAGGGAAGGAGGGAGGGAGGGAAGGAGGAGGGAGGGAGGGAGGAGGGAGAG